ATTGTTTATTTTTATTCTTCTCGAAAACCAGTTTTGCAGCAAATTGGTTTTTCGAGAATAGCAATGAAAAAACGTGACAAGAAAAAACCACCCGTTCAATTCTAATATGAAAGTAGCATATTCACATGCAATTTAAAAGCTGCATTGTTTCTTAACAAGTTACGATTGTAGAAAAAATCCATGAAAAATTCACAAAAAAAAATAATTCTGAATAATATTATCTATAAAACATAACCCTCATACATCTACATGCTGATAATACAGGCAAGCATGATACGTTTTTCTAAATTGTTGGTTTCATATGAAACAAAATTCTCTCTCTTCGAACGACTTTTAGCTCCACTAGATCGTAGCTCGTATTCTTATCGATACCAGAGTATACATTTTTCAACTATAGACTCAAGCTTGCTAATAAAATAACTAATATTTGCAGTATTCTTGAGGGAATTGGATCTCCTCTCAAACTATGTTTGTGCTCTACATGAGTTGGCAGATATTTACTACGTGATGCTATTAAAAAAAAAGGAATTGATGACATTCTTTTCCAGTTCTACAAACAGGCTGTTGAAAGAACTCTTAAGATTTTTATCTTTTAAAAAATGGCAGGCCAATTTAGACACCTAGAAACAAAATCACACTGCTTTCGTTCGACCAAAGACAGTCAATCATGATTGGCGAAGATTTGACGATTTTCCCTTTTTGAGCGATTTGGACATATTGAGATAGATATTTTCTGCTTATTTAAAAAAAGGAAGGCCGTATTTCGTAAGATATACAAAAAATTACCTTATTGGGTACATGATTTGGATAGAAAATAAAGAAAAACAAAGAGATACATATCACATGCCAGCTATTCAATGTCTTTCTGGAAATGCTTTATGTTTGACCAGCAAATGTAAAAGATTCATTTCGCACCCTGCACCACGGGACGTGATCGTCGTTAGACTTGACAACCTGTGAGTGACAGATAGATATCCCCGCCAGTTAAAAAAGAAAAATAGACAAACAATAAACATTACTAGTTTTTTTGATTTTTGGACTTAAAAGCCATTATCTGTGAAACATTTTTCATAATTTTTTGTCTATGTCCATAGTAATTGCATTATGCATCAGGGAGATGTAGGGATTGACACGTCTTACACATATTATCTGTGTTTTAGGATGGAGAGGACATAATGTTTTTATTGCTTTGAAGAAATTCATTAACCCATAAATTAATAAATGATTACTATTATGACGTAAAGGAAGATGAGAAATTTTATGGAATGTATTTCATATTCTATTTTCTTGCAAAATACAGACAAATCCGCACTATTCAGCAGGCATGTAATGATAACTTTCAGTATATTGAAGTTGGTAAATTCGAGAGTGCCATGCATTAACAAACGTCCAAATCTGCTGCCAAATTTAACAGCTAGAAAATCGACCTATTATTTGCCGCATTCCCATTCGCTGAGGGGGACAACGGGTTGTTAAATGTAAACCTATAATATATATCAAAATACATGAAAGTTGTCCTGTTTTTTCTGTACAAAAGCATCATGTTGGAATCAAAAAGTGGTCTTGTTTATAATACAGTCGAATTTTCACGATTTTATTCAATATGTCAATAGAAATCACTAATATTCAGAGACCTTTGATGGCTTCTGTCAAATTGCATTTGGATAAGGTATTTCCCATTGGTCCATAATATTAATTTTTTTTTATACTCCAACTACCACGAAGGCCTAAGGACTAAACACCCATTGGGTACCGTGGGGCAATAGGGGGATGCAGGGGAAAGAGGGACGCCACACAGACTTTGGCGAGGGAACACGTGTGCATGCAACATGCACACATTCTGGCTCCGCCCACGAGATCCGCCGGGCGGTACCTCCACGTTCGACAGTCAGAGACCGGCTAACCCCTACGGACAATCACAACATCCATAGCCAAGAGAAAAATTTCTCCTGGGACGGGACTCGAACCCGCACAGCGCACGGCGACTGATCAGGAGACCGAAGAGTCTACTACTGCGGCCACCGCTGCTGCCTAAATGTTGGTGAAATCGGCCCTTAGTGGATCATTTTCACATTGTTTCTACATCATTCAACTCGTCATCCCATGCCACTTTCTAACATCGTTTTCACGTGATTCTGCTACCTGGGATAGCTTCTTTGGCTCAATCAACCACCACCACGCACCTCGCCGGAAGCAGCAAGCTGCTCCCCTTTGGAAAGTTACACACTCGTCGGTTTTCGTGTTCTCACTGGAGCCCTCGGCAACTCCTTAAAGTCCCCCTTTTACTACTTTGCCGGTTGCTGCTGTGACGCAGTGACAGATCTTAATTAAGGAGTCTTATGAGTCGAGTCTCCCAGCAACAAAGCGCCAAACTTTTCGAATTGTTAAACTTAATCTGTATTGGCGAGCGAGACGGGCGGTATTGACGGACTTCCTGCTTGGTTCTCAACAAAAGTTGCTAGACGGCTTCGATCTTGCTCAGGGCAGCTGGAGATTGGGTTGGAGCTGTTTCACTACTATGTCTTGCATACTATATTATCATTACCTGACCGAAGAGCTATATAGCGGATACCCTGAGCAAAGCGAATATTTCATTTAAATTATGACTTCTCTCCTCTCTTCTTTTAGCAATTATATACTTATTGCCTAACAGAACAGTTCCAATTGCAGTATAAGTAAGAAAAGAGGAAATATACCAATTATAAAACTAAAGCAAAAGTGAACCATAAAATGAAAAAGAAGAAACCAGAGCTTATAACAAATGAACATTATAAATAAAATCAAAACATAAATATATAATAATATAATATTTTTCAATATTCATATTCGCAACATATTTGCATGAATTTTGAGAATACGCATACTTATGTGAATAAAAGGAAAAATGCGAGTCTTTGGGAATGCGAGTATTCGTTACGCCACTACTAAGAACCGTTGTTTTGAAGACATAAATAAAGTATCATTCCAGACATTTAGTTTAATTCTATTTCCATTTGTGGCATAATAGCAAGCGTCCTTCCTAGTCGAATTGCTTCTATAATACTTTTTTCTACATTGCTCAAATATTATCTAATTTAAAACGTTTTTAAATCGGGTAATTAACAAATAAATGGCATTAAGTTATTATAAGTTAAGCCAAAATTTGTAGTCAGTAAGTAAGTTTCATTAAATTGAATATTTAAAACACACATGACAACAGCGCGGCGGTCATGATCACTCTTATCGAACCTGCAATCGATCGCAAACGGTAACAGAGGTTAGTATGTTGTTTTGTTTTTGTTCACGTACGTCGAAAAAATTTTTTATGCTTCTGAAATAATAAATGGACAACTTCGAGGACCTAGAGTAAGAAGAAACTGGGTTTGTCGTAATGAAGCTTGTGTGGAAAGTGGAGGACGACATTTTGAACGCCTTCTTTAGATACAAAAAAAGTGCAGTGTGGGTTTTAAAAACAAAAAAAGTATCAAAATTGAGTTCCCTATTTATAAGTGGGTTTTTTAATACGTTCAATAAACTTGCACACTCTAGGTGAATCGCTGAGATAGTTAGTGGTTTTTTTAATTGTTTGCATTTTACGAGTACATTATCAAATAATAAAATAGTACCTAAGAGCCAAAAATAACAAACTCCATCTTTATTTACAATGCGTTCCGTCGTAATTTGCGTCGGGCATTGCGGCGTTGTCAGATTTTATTTTACTTTAAAGTCGCTTTTCTCTAAAAAATGCCGTTTTGACCCCCATGTTATATGAAACTTTTTGTTTCCTTTAACCCCCTATATCACCCATTTAAATGATGACTGTCATAACGTTTAAACCCTGTATGTTAAAAACTAGTCAAATCTCACGTATTTTGATTCTAAACATCAAGCTCTGCAACTTAGTCTAGTCAATCTACTCCAGTTGACTAGATAATCAGGTTAATGTAACCCATTGATTCCCAAAGTGGTCTACATCGACCCCTAGGGGTCTATGACAACCTGCAAGGCGTCTACGTCAGCGAAAAAAAATTTGGGGGTCCATGAAATGAATATGAGGCTCCACGATAGTGGATCTCAACACATACACTGATAGTACCTATTTACTTACATCATACAATCTTATAATATCAAAACATATACATTATTTATAAAAGTACCTATGAAGTAAAAAAATTATTATATATGTTTATAAAATTGTGTAAGTTGTAGGATGATGGTATTCGCTTTGTGGTCGCAATACATTTTGAACTTGTAAAAACCTGAAAGTCGCAGTCTCAGAGCTTCGCTACCTTGCACTGACTTGTTCAATTCGTCACTCTATAAATACGAATCTGGGACAAATACGTTTATTCGTTTCCTGAATCTTGAAAAGGAAAGTGCTAAGAAAATATTTTAAAAAATATAAACAGATGGTATATCACACAAATTATAGTGAGTCAGTGTTATTTTGTTTGAGTGTGCTGGAGAAAAGTAAGTACATTATTTTTTATTAAATTTTAGTTTTGTACTCGTAGTTAGCAAATATAGATAAATTACGCCAATCATGACTTTAGTTATTAGTAGTTAAATATTCAATCATGCAAAACTACATGAGTACTCCTCAATAGTTTCTTTTTGAAAGTTTTAGCAATCGGAAATATAATTACAGTGCAATCTCCGTAATTCGAGCTAATTGTTGCAAGAAGATGTTCGAACTGTGGAATGTTTTCGGAAAAATCAAAAACTATTTTTAATATACAGCTGCTGGATTTTCTGTTTAAATAATTTAATTTTGCCCACAGATGACTGATGCCATGTCCGAATCTAAAAAGAAATGTAGACATTACAGTGTTAATTATTTGAAATTTGGCTTCATTCCATCATTGCCGGACAAACAATAGCCTATGTGCCTTTTATGCAACAATGTTTTGGGCAATAACGCTATGAAACCATCTAAACTGCAAGATCATCTGAGAAGATGCCACCCTGATAAAACAGAGAAAGATTTGAAATACTTTCAAACACTCAAAGATAAATTTCAGAAGAGACCTACTCTGGACAGAATGTTCGCTTGGACGTCACAAAGAAATGATGATGGTTTGCGGGCGACTTGCAATATCTCGTTACTTATAGCAAAATCCGGAAAACCGCATACTATCGGAGAGAAGTTAATTTTGCCAGCCGTTGAAGAGGTTTTAAAAACTGTTTTACACAAACCTGCATCTGATATCATTAAAAGAATTACCTTAAGCAACAATACTGTTGAAAAACGTATTGATGAAATGAGTTCTGATATTGACAGCTTCTTATGTAATTATTTGCAAACAACCCATTTCTCTATAGAACTGGACGAGTCAACTTTACCTGATAATCCAGCATTATTATTGGCATATGTTCGTTTTATTATGAATCAAGAAACCTACGAAGAACTGCTCTTCACAAGAACTTTGATAACCGACACTAAAGGTGAATCAATATTTCATGTTTTGAAGGATTACTTCATTGAAAAAGCAATTCCTTTATCAAATATAATATCAGTAGCTACAGATGGAGCACCTGCCTTGGCTGGAAGTTATCGTGGATTTATAAGCTATTTAAAACAAAATGTGTCAGGGGTGTTAGCAATACATTGCGTCATCCATTGACAACATTTAGTTGCTAAAAATTTGAGTGTTAGATTGCATGAATTACTTCATTTAGTCATTGATGCAGTAAACCGAATCCGAAGCAACGCGTTGAATACGCGGTTATTTGCGCAGTTTTGTGAAGAAAATAACGAACACTTTCATCAATTACTCCTTCACACTGAAGTACGCTGGCTGTCGAAAGGCCTATGTTTGACAAGATTTTTTGCACTTTTTGAGACTATTTTAGAATTTCTGGATACTAAAGATAGAATTTTAAAAGAAAATTTAATGAAGAGGAAAACAGACATCGCCTATTTAACAGATTTGTTTACAAAATTTAATATGGTTAATTTGCAATTACAAGGCGACAGTTTAAATTTGATTAAAACAAAGTCCATCTTATCAGCGTTTCTTGCCAGAGTTAAACTAATGAAGCAAAATATTGGAGGGGCGAATCTTCTCAGTTCCCCAATTTGTCACAGACAAGCTGCCAGGAAGACGACGTTTCAACTTACGTTCAACATTTAAATGCCCTCTATTCAGATTTTGAATCTAGGTTTGAGGATATTTTGACTATGGTAATACCACCGTGGATAATTAATCCATATGGTGACATAGAAGAAACGAATGTCATAATACAAGAGGTACTGATTGAACTAAATACGAACGAACAACTTAAGGTTCAGTTCAAAAATGGATATCAGCAATTCTGGCTGCAAAACAACAAACCCGTTACTTATCCCGTATTATGGAATATAGCGAGGAAATTTTCAATTTCCTTTCCATCGTCATAGCTAGTGGAAAGGGGGTTCAGCGCTGTTACCAATCTCCTAACGAAAAAAAGAAACAGACTGGACATCATTAGCCGAGGAGATTTAAGATTAACCCTTACAAAATTGACGGCACATGTTGATAATTTATTATTAAAGCATCAGGTTCATGCTTCTCACTAAAAATATTGACTTATTGCTTATGTTATTTTATTTATAGTTTATTTTATGTTTATTGGTGTCTGACCAATAAATGCCCGCATTGGAAATAAGTGCCCGCATTGATTTTTTTAAAGAACCCCCCTTTATAGAAAATATTTTTTTTAAATTATTCTGAAAATTCAAGGATAGGTACACACTAAAATTCGTTAATTTTTTGCCTATTTTTAGATAACTTAAACGTATAAGAAGCGGAATTTGATCAAACTAACAGTGAAATTATTGTAGAACATACGTTTATGTTATAATTAATAAACGAATTCGCTTATTGTACTATTTTAAGTAAAACACTTTTTTTTATTATTTTTCACTTTTTTTATTTTATCCCTCTTATTTTTTTTTCAATGCGGGCACTTATTCCCAATGCGGGTACTTATTGGTCAGACACCTGTTTATTTAATGTTACGTATATTTTACATAACAGATACAAAATTTTATTTTGAGTAGTTTTAATTTAAATTCAATTAATAAACGTATAAATTAACATGTGTTTTTACTTTAAGATTTTAACACTAAACTTCACTACAGTTAGAAATTTACAGGAAATCAATATCAGGTAAGTAGGGGGTCTACCAAACACGGAAAAACTTGGCAAGGGGTCTGCGACACAAAAAAGTTTGGGGAACTCTGATGTAACCCAAACCCTAATATAGTGTTGACTATCTACTTTATTTTTGAAGAGAACAACAGGCTAGAAAGTGAGAGTTTCAGCGAGTCCGAAAAAAAATGATAGATCGAAACAAATGTTCTTTGTCCGCTACAAATAGATAGGTGTGTAATGTATGTTCTGTGCTGGACCATCATGTATTTTAAGTTAGACGTGCGGTGAGAGCAATCCGGGAAGTCCGGATGTAATGTATCTTGAGGACATAAAACACCACAACGGCTAGAGTAACCACGGACTTACTCACACCTCTGCATGACGACCTCCCTCTGGAACAGGCAGTAGCGGAGTAACCGAAAACGTCGCAGCAATATCTGCAAGTATTGCTACGTTAAAACAAAGAATCTGTTCCAAAGTTAGTAAAAATCAATAAGATAAGAAAATTGAACCAGTCGTACTGTCATTTCAAGTGGGTTCATGATCCGCCGCTGATCCTTTTGCATATTCTTATTTGACAGTAAAACAAGTACGCCATACAGTGAGATTAGACAGCAGAAGGAGACGCGACTCGAAATCACTTTGATACCATTCTAAGTTTTGTGGGAAATGTGTGAAATATTGCTAATACGTGCATAGAATTACCGAAGTTGGGAGCGTATATAATACTATTTTGATATACCCTCCCCCACTCCTTACAAGCTCCAACCCCCAATTTTTAACCCCTAAAAATTTTTTTCTGAGAATGATAAGGAACCTCTGAAATGTCAAAAACAAAGTGTCTCCCTCGCCCAGTGAAATGGATACTGTTGAGCAAATAAATTCGAGGTCTGTAAATTAAGTGACTGGACTGATTTCTAAAATGTTTTTATTTAAATATTACCACAATTTTGTATTGTCACAAAATGGATTTATCGAACTGAAAGGACCTATTATGCAAACTTAATCTAAAAATTGCGCGACACCTTTAAAGAGAAACTTTGGAGGAATAAATCAAGTGGTGTATTGCGTCATCGGCATAATACTATCATCCGTATTTTCTGAGTTGCTATGGCTGACTTGCATCAAGCATGCTTCGGATTCGTAGACTTACATACCGCATTCACCAGTTCTGACCCCGAGTGATTTCAAAATACCTCCAAAGTTGAAGCAGTGCTTACGAGAAAATAAATTTTCAAGTAAGCAACAGGAGAGTGTTTTTCAAAAGTCGTACGAAGTTTTTACTGGGCAGCTACTGAAATGCTGGAGCACTTGTTGAACCAAACAGTATTTATGTTAGCTATCTAAGCTGTGCTTAACCTATCCGAATATATGCCGAAACCTCTTTCATGTTTGTTGCATGGTACCTCACAGGAGCCACAGTCAGCGTCTGTTGAGATACAACAGCACTTTCAAATCTAGTAAATACATTCATCAGACCACTTGATAGGAGAACAGCTTCGACAACAATAGCATTGGAGTATTCAAAGGCGTTTGATTGCATAAACCATGACCTCTTATGTGCAGAAAACGTTTTGACGGAGGATGCAAGACAGGTCGGAAGACCGAACCCCGAAGACTTTTTATGTCACCGGTTACAGAAGTTCATGTACTTGTAGATATCCCACAGGAGCCGGTTTCAGTCTGCTAAGATATGGATCTTTTTTTATCAAAATACGTTTTGTAGGTAGATGCAAAACAGGTCCAAAGACCGATCCCCGTAGACTATTTCTGTAACCCGTCACTGAAGTTCATGCTTGTGTGTACCCCCACAGGAGTCACAGCCACCGTCTGCTGAGATATGGCTTTTGCGGCAGATTCCTGCTGCTCGGCAGTCTACACCCCTTGAGTCTGCGGTTACCCCTATCTTCGATTATGTGTTCACTTGTTTTATGGAGCAGTATCCAGTGGACATTTACGACTGACAGATATACACGTGTTTTCCTTTAAGAATATTTGTTATCTACAAGAAACTTACAGTAAATCCAAATATTGTTTCAGGCTATCACGCCCTCATGGTTGTAATTTGTATTGAAATTTGATCAATATGGGAAGGTTTTAATGATCTTACTCATGTATGAGATCATCTATCTAAGGAGATCCATGAATGAAATGCGAGGCAGTACAAGTCTACGACATTATCTAGTGAACATACAAGCAGATCCAAGATAATTCTAGAAAATCTGAGGCGTACCGAGAATTTCCACAGAGATCCAAATAAATCTGAGGTAAAAGATGTTGTGTTCCAACAAGGTAACAATGTCTGATTCCGCGTAATAGGTAGATTGATTTCAGCGCCGAATTGTGATAGCGTTGGCTGTTTAAAACCTTTCTGAGAAACCCAAATGAACATGGATTTTAGATTATTTAACTCAACACCGGTATATTTTCTTTAAACTGCAAAAGCCACGGGAAAAAGCTTGAATAGCGGGGTTAATGATAATCTGCTACCAACTATAAACTATACCCCCTTCGTAGTAAATTTTCGTCCAGACAAAACAAAACATGCCCAAAAGCGAGATTGTACAGGACCGTATTTTCCTCAATGGTCTTTGAATAATCTAACAAAATAAATTATTATTTTTATAGAAAGGAGTGCACATACTTTTTACAATTATTTATTCGCTGGAAGTACTTGAATCATCGTCCGAATGGTTAATATTCATCATTACAGGTTCAATTTGAATATCGATCATATTGTCCAGATCCCACACCTTTGTTCCGATTGTCTCTTGAACCTGACGGATGCAATTTTTCCAATGGTTTGCCGTCACTCTGTTGACAGCTTCATAAAACAAATTTTTCACGTCAGAAAATTTGAATGTTCCATTCTTTGAAGCCACATAGTTTTTTATACTGCTCAAATCATTTCAATGGAATTTAATTCTCAGTGCAACGGAGTAGTCTTAAAATGGTCTAATTTTGGCTTTTAGCATCAAAAACATTAAGATTATATTTATATTTGTGCTACCTGACTAGATGGATAAGTTATGCTTTGACCATATTTTTATTGAAACTAATGTCTTTTGATAAGAGTCATTGTTGAATTTCTGCCTTTCTTGTGGTAATTTTTTCTAGTTTTCTAGCGTGGTATGTAGTATTATCTAGTACAACGACGTTTCTTCAAACCATCGTTCAAATGAACTCCCGTCCATTTTTTCATGGTAGTCGGTCGTTTTCTTGGACTCAAATGCCCATAGGTCAGCGAGCACAAAGCCATCTTCACTGCCAATGTCACAGATAACAAATAGTTTTCCATATCCTGGAAATAATTATTTCATTCTAGAAAACCAATAATAATACAAACAGAGTATCTAACAGATGTTAGTTCCAAATCTACCAGATATAGCTAAGTTTAGTATAGCTAAGTTTTCAGCGTAGACTCATAGATTCAGTCTACTTGACACTATTTTTACAACACAAATGACGAATTGGTTAGATACACGTAC